GCATCAGGGCCAGTGGCGTTGACCAAGATAGAGGCCACGGCTGCCACCATGAGAAGAATAATGATGAAGCTCGTCAGCCTAGTAGGCTGCAAACGCTATTCATTCACCCTGCAAGGTCCTACCAGTGAAACCTGCCAATGCCGTCAGCACATCCGAGCAGCTGCATTAGGAATAGCATCAGCAGCGTCGGCTTGGGAGGCTTCTCCAATTCGTTGGGGCCATCCCTTTCCAGGATTTCCTCAAAATCACAACTTCCGAGGCGAAGCAAAGCGCTTTGCTGGAGAGCGTGGGCTCGTAAAGGGTGTCACACAGATTGAAGTAAGGGGCCCATAAAAAATCGACTAACGGGCTTGCGTAATCAACAGGCAAGAAATGCGCTGATGTCTTCAGATACACGCCTACAGGCGCAGGACATCTGAGAAATGGCATGGGCTTGAGAAGCATCTTGCAGGCAAGCTTCTGCGGCCCGCTTGGCAGTGAGCCCTTTTGTGATATGTGTTTTGTAGGTCTTCGCCAGCGATTCAATGGGCGACTCCTTAGCACCACTGTATTTGCCACTGAGGACACGCAGTGGCATACACAAAAAATCAAAACTTTATCCGGGAGCTGCTACCCAGCGCATTTCTCTACCACTGCTGCATGATGCATAACCAAAAACTATTTCCACTGCATCGTGCGGCAGCATCCTGTTTCTGCTTCTCCTCTTTATCCGAGGCTTTTGGCTTGCCCGAGTTAGACCTTTTCAGATTCTTCTGCGACCTTGGACCCAGGAGAGGAGGCAAGTTTACAAGTCGGTTCTTGGCAACGCGGCAGTAGAAGGGAACAGCGGGCAGTCAAAAGAAACTGTCCAGGAACAAGGTTTCGTTCTAGTGCTGTCATGGTGCATGGCTGCGCAGCCGCCAGTCAGCTCAGGTCTTGCTAGCACAAATGCTGCGGACAATCCTTGCATGAAGGCGTAGGAAGTTGGAAGGACTGAACAGGCTTCTGTAAGCTCGAGATGAGGCCTCAGCAGCGATGACAGGATGTACATCCAGGCCACAAAGTCTTTGTTCCGAGATTTTGTCAGAGCAGCCCGGGTCAGGCAT